CCAACTCAAAAAAAAAAAAGAATAAGATCTCTTTCCTGAGCACTTTATAATTCATAGGTCTTGAACTGAAAACCCAGTGAATGTAAACTCTTAAATATAATTTGGGAAGCTCTGAGGGCATTGAGTGAGAATGTACATCTGTTCAGTAACAACCTCTCCCCAGCATAGAATCCATATTGCTTAAAATGCCACATTTACCCCCAGCATGACATATGGCAAGAGAGATAGGAAGGTAGTGTCAATTTTAAAAAAAGAAAAGCCCAGATAACATATACATACAGTAAGATATTCTAAGAGGTATTTCCACTCGATGCTGTTTCTCTTGGAAATGGTGGCAAACAGAAAAGCGTTACTGCAGGAGAAGCTAGCAGTGGGATTAAAGATGCAGCAGTGTCGAGCCATCACCCAGCAGTCATTCTTCCTGCTATGTAAACATGTGTTTATGTCTATTTTTATGATTCATGCGAATATCTATACTCTCAGGTTATGTCACTGTACTCACCTTTATCTAGCACTTACACAAAGAAAGATGAACTGTGTTGGGATAAATTTAAATTTTAAAACCCTAAGCAGTATGAAAATGTTCTAGAATCAGATGGTGATAATTGCACAACTTTGTGACTATACTAAATCACTGAACTGTACATTTTAAAAACATGAATTTTATGGTTTGTGAATTACATCCCAACCCCCCCCCACACACACACACAAAACCCAAGCAAAATATTCCAAAGGGATTGTCATCTAGCCCCATCTTGTCCTTTCATGAACCCTAAGTCACACCAGAGATACCTGGATAGAATGCATACTTGTGGAGGGAGACCTTCCTGTCAAAATTGGAACTATAATAATTAATGACTATATATCATATGTGTACCCATCTTTTTAGGAGAAAAGCCAACACAGGTGGGTGGAACATTCATTTTTTAGTAATGCCCATTGTTTTCCAGATACAATGTATATGGTACATGTACTTACACATATACATACACACACAGGCAATACACACATATGCATACTGCCAGAGTTTCCTGGTCCGGGCATCATCAGATGAGTTTGTATTTGAAACTCAGTAGAAGTCCATGATGACTGCCCAAGCCTTTAGTGTGCTTCCTGTTTATCTTCATGCCTAGATGCGAGGAGACAAAAGGAAACTTTATTGGAAGAATAATATGGATTATTTTTTTCAAATTTCTTTTATCATCCTTCTTACCTTGGACTAGTCTGGATTTGTATAATATTCTTTGTCTGCTCTGATATTTTGGTTTCTAAATTTATTGATTGGTTTGAAATGAAGTGAAATGTAGGGTAAAGATTCAGCTCTAGAAATATATCAAGTACATTTTCATTTTTGTACAGATCCCCAGGAAACACACATTCATCAGTATGTGTAGCTGTTCAACTCTGATTTTAAAAACTAGTAATGAAACCCCTAATAAGCAGTTACCAATTTCAGAAATTAAAAGATTATTTTTTGTCTTAAGGAGATGAATTGTTTCCATTGTGAGGAAAGTTTATTTTCTAGTGATTTTATCAGTTGATGGTGCTTTTAAGAGAACTGCAAGTTTTTTTGTTTGTTTGTTTGTTTTTTTGAGTTGGAGTCTCACTCTGTAGCCCAGACTGGAGTGCAGTGGCCACTCCCGGCCACCGCAGCCTTGACCTGCTGGGTTCCGGCGATCCTTCCACCTCATCCTTCTGAGTAGTGGGAATTACAGGCATGCGCTACCATGCCCAGCTGATTTTTTGATTTATTGTAGAGATGAGGTCTCGTTGCCCAGGTGGGTCTTGAACCCGCGGGCTCAGGCAATCCACTCACCTCAGCCTCCCAAAGGCGCGGGATTACAGGCTGAGCCACCGAGCCCGGCTAGAGAACTGCAAATGTAATCTACCTTTGAAGAATGATATGCTTTTCTTGTTTTGGGGGGTTGGAATGTCACTCTGTCTCCCAGGCTGGAGTGCAGTGACACACACACACAGCCACTTCAGTCTCAACCTGCTGGGCTCAGGCGATCCTTCCACTTCACCCTTCCAAGTTGCTGGGACTATAGGCCCATGCCATCACACCTGGATATTTTTTTGATTTATTGTAGAGATGATGTCTTGCATTGTTACCTAAGCTGGTCTCGAACTCCTGAGCTAAGGCAGTCCTTTAGCCTCAGCCTTTCAAAGTGCTATGTTTGTAGGTGTAAGCCACCATACCCAACAGCTTTTCTTGTTTAATTAAAGGACTACTTGTACGAACGTGGGTTAAGCCTTAAAAAACACAGCTAATTAATTAAATTCACTGACTCTCCCAAAGCATAATAAAGTTTACCTATTCTGGATGGAGAAATACTAGAAAGAATCTGAAAAGCTGTAACTCTCTTGGGTTTGGGGCACAGATAATATTATAAATATGTAATAACTAATTGAAGTGTCTTGTCCATGTTCAGTATAATTAAATTTAGAATGTTTAACCTGTTTTTTGAGGTCAGTTAGACATAGCACTTTTTAAAAATCAAAATGTAATTCAAACAGAAAGAAAGGGATTCTTGTATGTTTTTCTTGCACACACTAATTTTTGTAGAGCAATTGTTCCTACATTTAATTTAAAATTTAGTTATTAAATTATGCATTGTAAAAATAATACAATTACCCAGCAATTCCCCTATTGGGAATATACCCGGAGTGAAAATAATAATAATACAAACAAAATATTTGAAGTAAAACTTAACTGTACCTTTTTGCCATCCTATATATCTAATGAAATAATTTAGAGCAATTATCATATTTTTAAAACTTGACACATGAAGAAGTTTAAATTATGCTAATTTCCTACCTGTAAAAATGGAAGGGAGTGTTGTTTTTTTTTTTTTCCACCGTTGGGTGCTTTTCTTTTCTTTTCTTTTCTTTTTTTGAGTTGGAGTCTCACTCTGTTGCCCAGACTGGAGGGCAGTGGCCACTCCCGGCCACCGCAGCCTCGACCTGCTGGGCTCCAGCGATCCTTCCACTTCAGCCTTCCAAGTAGCCGAAATTACAGGCATGCGCTACCACACCCGGCTGATTTTTTGATTTATTGTAGAAATGAGGTCTCGCTGCCCAGGCGGGTTTTCAATGCTGGGCCCTTCCTCACTCAAGGAAGTCAAGATAAAGCTAATCCATCTTTGAAAAATGTTTTTCTACCACAGAAAATAAACTTACATTTTATTATTTTTTCACTTTACAAAACCTATTGTTGGCTTTTGTAAATACTATGTTTTGAAAGAATATACTTTTAAAGAATAGCATAGAATAGACAAGAGGATGGTTTCCATGTGCCCATACATAGATGATAAACTTTAGAAGTTGGACAAGCCATGAAGTCATTGTCTAGGATGGTGAAGATGCAAGCCCAATCCCTTTTGGGGTGGAGCAGTGGAGCTCAAGGAGCAGGTGGTTTCTGCCAATGCGGTCTGCTGATTCCATTATAGTTAACACCTGGAGGAAGTCTTTGAGTTGGGCACATTAAAATTTTCTAAATACACTTATTGATGGTCTTAGAATTATCCAAAAACTTTCTTTAATTTTTAGAAAGTTTTGGGTCCTGTTAAAATATTACTGAGAAAATTATATGACACTAATACATTTTCATACCATCTATAACACCTTTGCTTTTTAAAAATTTGATCCATTTGCTAGAGTAGAGCAGGGACCTGCAAACTGTGGCCCATGGGCTAAATCTTGCTCATTGCCAGTTTCTGTTAATTAAATTTGTGTGTGTGTGTGTGTGTGTGTGTTGGAGTCCCACTCTGTTGCCCAGACTGGAGTGCAGTGGCCGCTCCTGGCCACCACAGCCTCAACCTGCTGGGCTCTGGCGATCCTTCCACCTCAGCCTTCCGAGTAGCTGGAACTACAGGCGCGCGCTACCACACCCGACTAATTTTTGATTTATTGTAGAGATGTGGTCTCTCCAAGTTGCCCAGGTGGGTCTTGAACCCGCTGGCTCAGGCTGCTTTTGCAGGACACTAGCAGAGTTGAGAGATTTCAACACAGATCGTGCAGCCTGTAAAGCCCAATATATTTGCCATCTGTTTCCATTAAAAGTGTGCTGACCCCTGTGCTAGAGTATACTCCAAGGTTGTTGTTTTAATGCTAAAAGGAGTTGTTGTTTTAATGCTAAAAGGAATGCAGTCTGGTTTGCCAACTGTCATTTATTACTAACAAGATTTTGTTTTTGGTTTGACATTTAAAATTTTAAAAATTTCCACCCCAAAGATAAAATTGGATGTGATGGGTTAAGGAGGGAAGCATAAAATTTTTCAAATATCCAGATTTTCTTTCTCAAATCTTCACTGATGTGCAATATAGACATTTCAACATTTCATCTGTAGGCATTTGTCTTTGTATGTCAAAAAACTGTCTGCTAAAAATTTGCATATGATGATTATCAACTCTTTTAAAAGAGGTATCTAAAAGAAAATATGTGCGAGTTCAGTGTGTTGTTGCTAATAAAATGTTCTCCTGACCCTTAAATGTCTTTGCAAACATGTGCCAAGAATTCATCATAGCAGCACACAACACACCCAAAATATTGAGCAAAAGTTTTTAAAGCCACCTCCCTCCCACTCACTTTTTCCTTTTCAGCTTATTTTCTTTTGACTGCCATTCACATTTCCCTGGTTTCTCATCTTGGAACAAATGATGTTCACCATCCCTTGAAGTGTTTCACCCAGACGTTGGCCCCCAGGTACAGATGAGATCTGGGATCAACTTCTTAGCACTGCCCTGCCCAGCAGTTTCCTTCTTGTTCCTGAAGAGGAACTGTTTTGCAAGGCTTCTGACCCTGTCATATAAGGAAGTTCCTTCCACCCAGCTTCAATCACACATTATCAACAGCTCACACAGTGGCTCCTACTAGCTCTACACACAGAGTGTTCATCATTCATGCAAGCTGCAAATCGCAGCTTGGAGAGGGAAGGAGTGGAGTGGACGAGTCTTTCTGAGTTGAGACTTGCCCACTGGCTGCCTCAAGCGCACTTTCTACCACCGAATGTTTACAGTCACAGAGAGGACTCAGAGTATATGACGCTCTAAGGAAAAGAGAAAGCGCGTTGAGAAGTGTCTGTTTTTGTGATTGCCATTTCATAAGTATATTAGTAGGTGTTCAATTTCATTGGATATTCTTTTTTTTTTCGATTGTCTTTGTACCTATGATTGAAAACGCTAGTTGGTCTATGCCTTTTGAAGAGGTAAGTTTTTTATCTCTTTGTGTCTGTAACATGAGCGTCTGTCTCTTTGAAAAATGCAGTATCCTCCTCCTAAAAGTGACTAACAAGCTTTCCCAGCTGTCCATCTCCTGTGCAAGAGGGGAGGGAAGGAATGAGCACAGTTGTTACCTGCTTTCTGTTCCAGTGATGTTGGTAGTGTGAGATAGAGTCTGTTGCAGATAGTGTGATGTGAGTTTTAAGGGTTTATGTAAGCAGCATCTCCTTGTAATCTTTTCTGAAGGAGAGGGAAGCAGTTTGCCTGTTTCGTTTACAACTCTGAGCCCTTAGCACATCTGCTTGTGTGAACTTACAGCATGTGAATTTCTCGGGCTGGCTGAGATTATGGGGCTTTCAGTCTGTGTCTCCCATGGCAGCCCTATCCATTTTTCAAAATGAGCTAGGCAAGGTGACTATCTTTCCCAAGTCCATCAAAACCTCTCTTCTCCACTCTAGCATGAAGGCAAATTTCTCCTTGAATCGGTCAGCACTGGAGACAGTTCTGGCACCTTAGCAAGGGCTGGCAGAGATCGCCAAGTAACGTATGCTCTGCTTAGCCCTCAGTGAGTGTGGGCAAGTTGTTCTTCATAGAAAATCTCCATCTCAGGAGCAGTGTCTGCTGTAGTGCTCAGTAGCTCTCAGTGGCACTGGAAGACTCATGAGGACACCCTGCTGTCACCCCTAGGTTCATACTTTGGAGGACGATACTGCATTTTTGGCCCGTCGCTTGCTTTCCACTTGTCTGTGAACGCAGAGCAGGAGTCTGGCACCTCTCACTGTGCTGCTTGCTTTGCAGACACGGAGTCAAGCTTCTTGCTAAAGCAAAAGCAGTAGGTATGCCCCAAGGGTACTCTACTTTGTTGGGACACTCACTCAGTTTCTCCCCAATTTTTCTCCATCCTCCTCTACCCCTTTTGCTGTATGTCTCTAAGGAAGGGTTTGAGTTGCAACAGTCATCATTTTGAGAAGTCATCAGTCAGAATTTCAGCCCAGCTCACACCTTTCTTACGTAACATAGAGTCCATCAGGCATTCACCTCTGGTCAGTGGTAAAGTAGCTCCCTCATTCGTTCTTTAAATACATGAACAAAATACTTTTCGACGAACATCCTCTGACTACCTGGAGGTGGTCATAACTCAATTCTAAGCATATAACTGTAACCAGAAAAACTGGCAGCAACAACATTCCTACTTTTATCAAATTAATGTAATGTAAATAACCGTTGAAGGGGCCTTTTGTACTTTGGAGTTCTGCAGGTACAGTTTCAATAGAAATAGGTCACTTGACTCAGGAATTAGTGCTGAAGTAGTCTTATCTTAAGTCTCTTGAAGGGATTTTTCAAGAAATTAGAAAATCTCTTCCCCGCCTCTGTGGCCTGCCTTGTAAAATATGTTGTGTTGAAATGGTGCCAGGTAGAACCGCTCTTTCCTTGCTAGGAGGAAATTTACTGAAAAAGTTTCTCAAACTTTTTTTAAAATCTAAGTTTTCTACAAGTATATAAGCTGTTTCCACAAAAGGGGGTAATAGATATATCAGAAATAAATATCCCTGCTAGAAATTGTGTTACATTGGCAAAGATTGAAGGTTCAACTATAGACATCCTGGCTTGTTTCAGTCTACTCTATAGTTTCTGCATGTACCACGCTTTTGTGGGAACAGACAGAATCTGATGAGTACAGGTTGAAGCTGCAAGTGTGTACACTGTCTTCTCAGGACTGTCTGGGGGAAGAGTTCCCGGCGAGGAAGTACACTTGAGGGGTAACGTTACACCTTGGAGGTGGTATAATGACCTTGGAGGAAGGTCCAGTATGACTTTATGTACAATATGACCTTCTAACAGAAGTGGACTTAAAAATAAAAGTTCTTATTTTGGCATTTTATCCCTTCCAGTGAAATTGAAATTCTGAACTGCTTTTATATTTATATATCTTATTACAAATATATTACATATTTATTGTAGAACACTTGAAAACTTTTTTTTTTTTTTTGAGTCAGAGTCTCACTCTGTCTCCTGGGCTGGAGTGCACGACACAATCTCAGCTTACCACAACCTTGACCTCCTGGGCTCAGATGATCCTCCCACTTCAGCCTCCCTAGTAGCCGGGACTACAGGCATGTGCCACCACACTCGGCTAATTTTTTGTAGAGATAAAGTTTTGCTATGTTGCCTAGGCTGGTCTCGCACTCCTGGACTCAGTCAATCCTGCCTCGGCCTCCAAAGTGTTGGGATTATAGGCATGAGCCACTGCACCTGGCTTGAAAACATGTTTTAAAAGACAAAGGAAACACTAAAAATAACTCACTACTCACAGTTAATATCTGTTGTTTATATTAGTAAAAATGAGATTTTCCAATTATTTATTTTTTCCCTGCAATGTAGTATATGCACTTCATCTGTTATTAGATCTTTTCTCTAGTATTTTAACACAGAATGGAATTCTATTATGAATTTATTCAAAAGTATTTAAGTGCTTTGGTAATATTTTTTTTTTTTTTTTTGAGTTGGAGTCTCACTCTGTCGCCCAGACTGGAGTGCAGTGGCCACTCCCGGCCACCACAGCCTCGACCTGCTGGGCTCTGGCGATCCTTCCGCCTCAGCCTTCCAAGTAGCCAGAATTACAGGCATGCGCTACCACGCCTGGCTGATATTTTGATTTATTGTAGCGATGAGGTCTCGCCAAGTTGCCCAGGCGCGTCTTGAACCCGCGGGCTCAGGCAATCCACTCACCTCAGCCTCCCAAAGGCGCGGGATTACAGGCTGAGTTACCGAGCCCGGCTATCTTTTTTCATAGATACCTTTTCAAGAATATTTTGACATTCTAATCTTTTTTTAAATTGGCCTTGGTGACTGGTTATAATCCAAGTGCAGGCTCATCCTTTAACTTCCCTAGGTGCCTTCGCTGTTAATGGGTCCTCCACCTCTGTGACAGTCTCAGACTTTGTCCCTACCATCTGTTTCTTATCCCTTCTTTAAAAAAAAATAAGAAATGAGAGTAGGGTCTCTTCTTTCTGTACAACAGACCCCAGGTTGTTCTACAGAAGATAAAATTAATTCGGTCTCATCTCGCATGCTCCAATGCATTCTCTTCCAAAACATCTCTCTGCCTTCTAGCTCCATACCACTGCTCTGTCTGAGTTTTTGCCACCCTTGCTGAAAACCCTGGTAGGAGTGTCCATCCCAAACCAGGAAGATCTCCTGTCGTTGAAGTCTGTCCTGACAGCTCTCTTTTGAATCACACATAGCTGCTAAGAGTAGCAGAGAAAGCACTCTTGATGCTTTGGAATGGGAGACACTAAATTGCTCTTTGGAAAGTAGACTTGAACACAGGGATCCATGAAGGCTAGTTAAGAGGAGACCTTGCTCCATAGGAATTAGCGACCTGGATCTTTCATCATATAACTTTGCTTCACATTTTTCAAGGGAGCTCAAGGGGGCAGGGAGAGCTCAGTAATTTATTTTACACAGAATTTTTTAATTTGAAGTTTAAAAAAATAAGAGAAACATTTAAAGACCTTATAAGAACTATCGCTCTCATTAAACAAAAAATAGGTGTTCAGAAAAGTAAATATGTTCTTACTCAAAGAGTGGAGATGTCAATTGATAGCAAAGTCATGAATTCGAGTGTCTTAATTCTGGACTTAGTGCTCTTAAATATACTCAGTTAATTTGAGCCCTGATCTTGGAAAAATAATCTAAAGAAATGTCTAGTGGTTTCCCCCATTCCGTAACTACTGTGTCTGAGGCTTCTCTTGAGGCCAAAGGTGGGACTCCTGCACATGCTTCAAACAAACGATTGCCTGTGTGTCTGTGTCTGCGCTAGATTATAGGAAAGCCTCATAAGGTCAGGAATATGTGGGAAGTTTTGCTCTTTGTGGCACATTTTTCTGACGCAGTATGTCTGGGCGTTTAGGACAGCTGTAGGCCTCCCCAGGTGGAGGCCGCCCGCACCGCTGGCTGAGTCACTGATGTCGCCGACAGCAGCCTCCCTCCCGTGCCACACGCCTCTCCTTCCACACCTTACACGTCCACATTGTTGCTGCTACTGTTCCTCTCGCCAGCTGCATCCACTCCTACCAGCCTGCCCACACTAATGCCTGCCTCGGGCTATCGCTCTTTTTCTGTAGAGGGAGAACCGGAGGCTGCAGGAGGCCAGCATGAGGCTGGAGCAGGAGAATGATGACCTTGCCCACGAGCTTGTGACCAGCAAGATTGCACTCCGGAACGACTTGGACCAGGTGAGCCTGCCACTTACTCAATAGAGATGGCACTGGATGGTGTCCTCCAGGGCAGAGACTGAGCTCTCACCACCATTCCCCTGGCTTGCTTCATCCTCAGCATGAGCAAGAGGCCTGATCGAGGAGTGGGTAAATGGCAGGTGGGAGGGGACCACTTGTGCCCACTGAAGAGACTGACAATTCAAGCCTGTGAGATAGGTTTAGGGCATGTCCACAAAGCACGTGTGACATGCTTTTTAAAAACTTCTCTGGTGTCTCTTCTCTTCGTGGGTACTTTTCCTAAGCTGGGGGCTGCCAGACAGTTACTGGGAACCTCAGTCACTGGAATCCTCCTGTACTCATGCCACTCTGACAGTAGTAGGCACCTTAACTTTCTGTCCCAGTAGGAATTCTTATCTATAATACAGTGGCGTGACTTTTTTTTTTGAGTTGGAGTCTCACTCCGTTGCCCAGACTAGAGTGCAGTGGCCACTCCCGGTCACTGCAGTCTTGACTAACTGGGCTCCGGCGATCCTTCCGCCTCAGCCTTCCGAGTAGCCAGAACTACAGGCGCGCGCTACCACACCTGGCTAATTTTTTTGATTTATTGTAGAGATGAGGTCTTGCCAAGTTGCCCAGGCGGGTCTCGAACCCGCGGACTCAGGCAATTCACTTACCTCGGCCTCCCAAAGCGCGGGATTACAGGCTGAGCCACCAAACCCGGCCAACATGTGAAGTTTTATATGAAATTCCTACATTAAGAGTTATGCTGAGCCAGGCTCAGTGGCTCAGCCTGTAATCCCAGCACTTTGGGAGGCCAAGGCGAGTGATTGCCTGAGCCCGCAGGTTCGAGACCAGCCCAGGCAACTTGGTGAGACCTCGTCTCTACAATAAATAAAAAATTAGCTGGGTGTGGTAGCGTGCCCTGTAGTTCTGGCTACTTGGAAGGCTGAGGTGGAAGGATTGCTAGAGCCCAGCAGGTCAATGCTGGGGTGGCCGTGGTGAGTGTGCCATTGCACTCCAACCTGGGCAACAGAGTGAGATCCTGAATCCAAAAAAAAAAAAAAAAAGAGTTGGATTATTGGACTGATGGCATCTTAGGGGATAGAGCCAAGACTGCCTGAGGGTGTTTCTTGGCACCACCACTTGTGAGTCATGTGACCCTAGGCTGTTCCTAAACTGTATCCAGGTATTAAAAGGTGTGTCCCTCATTGTGTGGTATAAGAATTAAGGCAGAGCACTTCAGTGGTGTGTGTCTGACAAACATCAGCGGTTGCTAAAAAGACCTCAAGCTGTGTGCTTCCCCTAGTTTTTCCCAGCAGTGCTGATGGTCAGGACTTCCCGTTTTCTGTTGATGGCATTTTCAGAGATCATTGGCAATATGGAAGCAGGTCTTGTGAAATACAAAATCACCACTCTGTTTTCTGACTTCTTTTTTTTTTTTTTGAGTTGGAGGCCCACTCTGTCACCCAGACTAGAGTGCAGTGGCTGCTCCCGGCCACCGCAGCCTCGACCTGCTGGGCTCCGGTGTTCCTTCTGCCTCAGCCTTCCAAGTAGCTGGAACTACAGGCGCGCACTACCACACCCGGCTAATTTTTTATTTATGGTAGAGATGAGGTCTCGCCAAGTTGCCCAGGCGAGTCTTGAACCCGCGGACTCAGGCAATCCACTCATCTCAGCCTCCCAAAGGCATGGGATTACAGACTGAGCCATGGAGCCCGGCTTGTTTTCTGACTTCTAAACAGTAAATAGTCCCAATAGATGGTGCAAGGTCAGAAAATTCGAGAGTTGACTGTTGAGTCTGTGAAAAAGAGTCATTACCTGTGGAGTCACTATGCACTGACACTATTTAAAATACAAACCCGCTAACACCATGAAACTGCTTAAATGGTTAAAACCAAAGGATGGCTGAAATGGCTCCTGCCACAACCCCTTTTTCCCCTTTTGCAGTTCGGAAATTTTTTCTTTTTTTTTTTGAGTTGGAGTCTCACTCAGTCGCCCAGACTGGAGTGTAGTGGCCGCTCCCAGCCACCACAGCCTTGACCTGCTGGGCTCCGGCGATCCTTCCGCCTCAGCCTTCTGAGTAGCCGGAATTACAGGCATGCGCTACCACGCCTGGCTGATTTTTTGATTTATTGTAAAGATGAGGTCTCGCTGCCCAGGCGGGTCTCGAACCCACGGTCTCAGGCAATCCACTCACCTCAGCCTCCCAAAGGTGCAGGATTACAGGCTGAGCCACCAAGCTCAACTCAGCTTGGAAATTTTAAGCACAGTCAGCAGGGAGCTAAGACCACTGTTCAGGAAAATCGTGCTGATGCGGGAGGTGGGTACTGGGGAGTCAGCACTACTTGGAGCTTGAAAAACAGTCCAAGGCTGGGTGCAGTGGCTCACACCTATAATCCCAGCACTTTGGGAGGCCAAGGTGAGAGGATTGCCTGGGTCCATGGGTTCGAGAACAGTCTAGGCAACTTGGTGAGACCCCCACCCCTACAATAAATCAAAAAATTAGCCAGGTGTGATAGCATGTGCCTGTAGTTCCAGCTACTTGGAAGGCTGGGGCGGAAGGATCGCCTGAGCCCAGTAGGTCAAGGCTACAGTGGCCATGAGCATACCACTGCATTCCAGCCTGGGCGACAGAATGAGACTCTAAAAAAAAAAAAGAAAGAGAACCAAGATAGCGGAGGAGCCAGGGCTGGAGTCAGGGCTGGAGTCAGGGCTGGAGTTATCTGACCTCAGCATTTGTGTTTTTTAGTAACAGGACTATTGTGGTAAGTCCATACTATAAAGAAAGTCTTGGTCCTATAGTAGCTTTCCAGATGACATTTAATTCTGCCATTTTGATTATTTTATCCATTAATAATTTTCTTAAGATGTCTAACTAAATGAAAAAAACATCTAAACATTAATACTCACTGGGAATACAGTGAGTGAGTTAAGAAGAGTTTGAAAGTGATTTGGGAAATGTAGTTGGTAGCATATATGAAAGCTTTAAAGAATTTAAACAAATAATAAAAGGAAATTATTGCAGAGTAATTACTATGGGCTAAGCACTAAATATAGCAATGTATATACATTATCTCATTTAATCTTCCTCATGACTCCAAGAAGCAGTTATTATTTTATTCTTCCATTTTATAAATGAGGAAACTATATGTAAATGAGGAAACATATATATATTCTGACTTGGGAAGCTATCCTCAAAAATAGAGATTTGGTCAAAAATGTATATACAAGGTTGTTTACTGCAGTGTTTCTTAGTAGAATAAAAAATAGAAATAATGTGTGTATATGCCCACTAATAGGGGAGAATGATAGTATTTTGTACTAATTTTCTAAAACAATGGGAAAGTAATGATAGTATTTTTAAAAAACAATAAATGTGCTGTAAATAGTAACCATTTGTAATGTTTGTATCTACATTTCAAGGGCTGTTGGCTAGCGCTGGGTCAGCCTGTAGGGAAGGGACCAGAATATTTCTAGTTAGAAAAGATGCCCACAAGGAGATACTTCACTGTGTTGCTACTGGGCATCTCTGGATGATAAGGCTAAATCTAATTTTCTATTTATCTTTATACTTTTTTCCAACTTATAATGTATAGAAAGACCTTAAATTTCTTAACTTCCCTTGGTGAAGTAAAAATGAGCATTTTAATTTTAATACCCAGAAAAATAATGTATATTATAATATACATATTGAACATAATACTGAATAATATGCAGAGCTTCAATAAATAGAAAAAACTATTAGTTTAAAAATTACTTCACCACCAAGAGAATCTTTTCTGTGAATCAATCTGGAATGACGCTGTGACAGGTCATCCAGAGTACCCAGGTGCCTCTTGGGGTCCAGATCTGTCTCTGAAGAAGAGTCTATCATTCCTTCATTCCTTCTTCCCCTTTCCTCCTCCTTCCATCCTCTCTTTCTGTCTCTTTTTTTTTTAGATTAAAAAATATAGGTTATTTAGAAAGTAACTTGGAGAGAGAGAGAGAGAGGAGATTCACCTCCTCAATGTAGGGGAGGGGGCCAAAGCTTAATGTCTCTTTTTAAAAAAAAAAAGTAAATAAGACGTAGCCCTGCCTTTTGGAACTTATTTTATCTGTGTAAGAATGAAAACTGTTCTTTCCCACGTATCTCATCCTAACTTCCGATTCTGCAGTGTCCACCCCAGCAATTGCCCATGGCAGGGCTGTCCCTGCATCAGGCTCCCTGCCCTCCTGTCTTCAGGAGGGCAGACCCCGCTGTACCTGCCTGCCAAAGCTGCCCAGTGCTTTCCCACTCCCGGTTGACCAAAATTGGATCTCTTCATTTAAACAGCAAAATGTTGGCAGGCCTTAAACAAACACAAAAGTAGACTGCACTGGGGACAATATGCAAGTAAACACTAATTAGGTTAATTAGGTACTTTTTAAAAAATTGTAATTTTTTTACATTTTATTTTATTTTATTTTTAATATAATGAGGTACTTAAAAAAAAAAAATTCCTACTCTCATCATTTTAGTGCTGGCTGCATACTTCTTGGGTACCAGAGCTCTGCACGTTTCTGGCAGGGCTTCTATCCCAAGAACATACCCTTTCAAAGACTTCTTTTTTTTTGAGTTGGAGTCTCACTCTGTCACCCAGACTAGAGTGCAGTGGCCGCTCCCGGCCACTGCAGCCTTGACCTGCTGGACTCCAGCGATCCTTCCGCCCCAGCCTTCCGAGTAGCCGGAATTACAGGCGCGCGCTACCACACCCGGCTGATTTTTTGATTTTATTGTAGAGATGAGGTCTCGCCTGCCCAGGCGGGTCTCGAACTCGCGGGCTCAGGCAATTCACTCACCTCAGCCTCCCAAAGGCGCGGGATTACAGGCTGAGCCACCTTGTATGACTTCTTACCACTAGAAATGAAGAAAGATGTAACATCTCCATCTCAGCTTCTATTTGCCACCTGCATTCAGGTCATTTTTTTGTCCCTCTCTCTGGAACAAAAGAGAAGAGATACAGTGAGTACTTACCCCTGAAGACCCTGGGTCTTGGTTCCCTCTACCCACAGCAAGTTCTGTTGGACCAGAAACTGCCTGTAATAAGTAGCAAAGGATTTCCTTTTGTTTTATTCATTTTCTTGAATTGGGGTCTTACTCTGTTGCCCAGGCTGGATCTCAGACTATCCTTCCACCTCAGTCTACCAATTAGCTGGGACTACAGGTACCTGCCACCATGCCCGGGTAATTTTTTTAAAATTTTGTGTAGAGACGAGGTCTCACCATGCTCTCCAGGCTGATCTCAAACTCCTGGCCTCAAGTAATCCTCCCAACCTCAGCCTCTCAAAGTGCTAGGATTACAGGCATGAATCATCACACCCAGTTCTTTTGTTTAAAATTGGACAAATGGTTTGACTAGTTCCTTCAGAAATCATTTCTGAAAGATCCTCATCCCTGAAGTTAGAGCCAAATCTTTTGGTCAGGTTATCTGTTGATTCATGATTAAGTCCCATATTACAATGTTTGTTTATCACATACATGTGTCACAGAAGCCTCAGGTTGCAACAAGAACTTTCAGTATCAGTAAGACATTATAAGATATTGGTAAGTGATTAGAAGACTTAATAATGACAGTGTTCCCCTCAATCTTCTTATAAAACTATGGTAAAGGTTTTATAATTTGGGTTTAAAGATAAAATTTGAGTGTCTGTCTGTTTAGTATTATGTTCATTTAACATTTAAAGATAATTTCTCCTTAAGTGAGGTATAGTAGTTGACCACACAAAGACCTCGAAGATCATTTTTGGAAAGATACCCAAGTTATTTCAGATCTGGTCTTATTTTGGTGAACAGAAGAATTGCTCCTACCTCCCTCTTTAACATAGAGGAGAGACTTTGGATGAAGTTTCCTAGAAAACTGGACCCCTCCTGTGTGTGACCCACAACAATTGCTGCAGATGTTGGACATGACAACAGTTGAAATAAGTGAAGTTATCTTATCTTGGCCTAATGAAGACTGTTCTGCAGAAAATGTGTAAATAAAAAGAATAGGTCCTCTCAGCATAAATATTTAGGTATTTTTATAAAATTTCCTCAGAGGAGTGCTTTTTCCCCTTTTCTTACAGAGGTTTTCAAAACTATAAAATAGCTAGATGGGCTGTAGGACTTGAGACGCTTGTTATCAAATGTCAGGAGAGCATTGGCTGTTTAAAAGCTCACAAAAGGCTAAAATTGTAGATGGCTCTCTCTTCAAGAGACCAAAGTTAAAAAGACGTTTATTCCAGAGTAACGTGATATCTGTTATGAAAGGATTATTCCCTTCACAAAGTGGAGATTGCTGTAGGAGCCAGAAGATGAGCTCCAGCCCTCTGGGATCAGAAAAACTGTTCTTGAAAGGCCATTCTGACCATCTGCCAGTGTCTTTAGGGGATTCTCCCTGCTCCCCTCAGTTGTCTGACTTGCAGCTCTAGAATGGAAACTTTTGAGCATCCCTAATCTACATCAGATGTCTTATAACTTATGGAAGGTCTCACTTCCATACATGTTGCATTTTTGAGGTTTATTACCTCTAATCTTAGTATATTTATTTGTCCTAAAATCGAATCCATAAGAACCAATTTTAGAATCTTGAAGATTTCTACTCAATGAATTTTGAAGAAAAGACAAGACTTTTAAGGGACCTTTTCACCTGATACCCAGTAGTTCCTAATTATGTGCAAACAGAGCTCTGCCCATTGGGCTGCAGGCCATCAGGAGGAGCTCGAAGACAGAGCAGAGCAGCTGGAATGCAGTTTCTCTGCAGTTGCCAGCAGGCTGCGCTGGCCTGGCCATTTGGCTATGCAGGAGATGCGGTGGAAGACAGACAGAGGGCTGATGACTGTGCTGACCTGGCCATCTGAACGTGTGGGAGACACAGCAAAAAACAGATAGAAGGCCATCTGGCCAGTTTTCACCATTACTTGGGTAATGTGCTGCTGTCAGCCAGGGACAGCTTCTTCAGATAACTGCACCCTCTCTGCACCCGGGTGTTCCCTGTCACCCTCTGCCGCTGCCACTCCACATGGTCTGAGTTGACTGCACCATTTACTTGCCAAGTGCTTACGCGGTACTTGATTGATGCTGGGCTTGATGCCTGTGACAAAGTGACAAGCAAGAGAGAGATGGTTCCTGCTTCCTAGGGCTTACAGTCCAGTGGGCAAAGCAGATAACTCACACATGAGATTTGTCATTATAGTGCTACCAAGAGGAATTCTTTTTTTTTTTTTTTTTTTTTTTTT